GGCTTTTTCTCTCTCCCCCCCCCTCGTGAGGCGGGAAGGGGAGCCCGAGCGCGCCGCCCGCCGTTTTACCTCAGCTGAGGCGGAGAAGCCGAGCGCCGAGTTTCGCTGAGGGAAAGTTGGGCGCCTCTGAAGCCACCGCCACCGCCGAGGGGGGAGAGCCTCCCTCGCCTCTTTCCCCCCTTTTTCCCTCCCGGGTCCGGCCTCCCCCTCACCTCGTCCTCCCTTGCGGTCCTCAGGGCACCCACGGCCACCATGTCTCGGGACCCTGAAGAGGTGAACAAGTTGACCGAGAACACCTACAAAGTAAGCGGAGGTGCCGGGGGTGGGGATTTATTTATGGGGTGGGAGAGATAAATCAGTGTTATTAACGTTTGCTTTTGTTTCTGTGGGTTATGCCTGAGTTTGTTTATCTCTCTCTCATCTGCCTCCTGCCCCCATGAGGGCGGTGTTCTATGGGGGGTTGGTGTTTACAGCCAAATCATATATAACCCCTGCCACCATAGGTTTTATAAATAAAACCAAGAGGCTTTAAAAACCTCATACAGGAGGCTTAAATATCAGTTATCAGGTTATGGCGGCGCGCCTGCGGCTCTGCCCTCCTCCCTATTTTATTTTATATATTTCTGTTTTATTTGCACCCCAGCCCCGCGAGGTCGGCCACTCAGAGACCGAGTGAGTGAGTGGTTTTGGGGTTTAACCTGGTGAGCTCCATAGGTCAGGGAGGGACTACAATTCGGATCTCCCATGTTCCTTGTGCAGGTCTTTCTCTCTTATGGATCAGGGCGTTTCACAATGTGAAAGAGTGGATCTAGCTGAAATATAGGTAAAGTTAAATTAAAAGTTTAAGATAATTAGATGACCGTTGGCCAGAAGCAAGGGAAAGTTCTCTAACCACTGTACTGCACTGGGTAGTTGCTGTAACCACTAGGTATCCTGCCTAAAAGAGGCTGACAAGAGTCCTTCACAGTAGCCCTGGGAGGTTGGCTTAGAAAGAGTGACTGTCCCAAACTTACTCATTGATCTTTCTGGCCATGCTGGTTTTTTTAAATAAAAGACCTCTAGTGTATGCTAAATGAATCACACTACAAGTTCACTAATTTAACTGTACTGTTGCAAATGTAATTACATGCTTGCATTTTTTTTGCACCACCCGGTCTGATGAAGAGTCCTGGAGAACTCAAAGGCTTGCATGCTTTTGTGACTTTGTTTTAAAGGTAATCCTAATAAAGTGATTGCCTAACTAAGATTTTAACCCCTCATGGGCTATCATGGTTGTTACTTGTTTTATATATTCTGTTTAAAAAAATACTTAGCTACTTTATATTTGTATTTCTAAACTCACAATGTTTGGTAGATACATTGTTCCATTTTCTTTAAAGACAAACTGTCAAAGTACTCAGTGAACATTGTTTGGGGTAGTTTAGGAATTATCCAAGTTGCCTCCCCCCTTTTCTATTTCTTGTTCCCAATCTTATGTGTATTTACCTAGGAGCAAGCCTGCAGTGAACCTATAATTTAACAATTGTGCTTTGTTATTGATCCTGGTGTTTGAGATTCAAAAGAACAAGTTACTTGCCTGTTTGCAAGTGTTTCACATTGGCATCCTTTCCTATTAATGTATTTATCTCATGAATCTTGCCCTATTGCTGCTCTGCTTACATGACCCCACTGCTTTTCTGCAGTCAGTACCTGCTCAGTAATGTATAAGAGGGGTTTCTCCCTTGCAACATGGTTGAAGGGTAGGACAGATGTTTCCTGCACCAGGAGGAGGACAAGCTGACACCAGGCATTTTGCTGCCTGAGACTATGAAAACTGCCCTGTCTATTTCACATCGAAAAACACATCAAAAAGCAGTTGAATCTTATATCACTGGCAAAAAGATTGAATTCTCCACACCTGAAGGCAGGCAGCTAGTTTAGAAGATATACAGCTCTGTCCTCCAAGGGGGAAATATAGCTGAAGGATTGCCTCATTCTGTCTAATGGAACTGCCAGAACTAACTATCAGGGAGTGGTCCTTCTTTCCCCAAGGCTGATTTTGTCTGGGAATTTCAGCTAGGGTTTCTTGCATCCAGACTGAAAATTTTGCTGGCTTGATGAGCATCGAGCCCTCAATTAGTTACTCTCGTTTATCTAGTATGATTAGCTGTCTAGAATCTCAGGCATCAGCCTCAGATCCTTTCAGCTGGTTAAGCCTCAAACTTTCTGTATGTGCTCTATCACTGACTGATCTGTATAGTCTGCTCTGTACCGTGTGAGTCAGCAAGCCATTTCACTGTGCTGCTTGATATGCCAACACTACATATGAAGAAGGCTGACTCACGTGTTTATAGGTGACAGGACATGCAAGGAACATTTAGGTGTGGGGAGTAGAAAGGCTTTATGTATGGTTGCCAAAGTCTTTTGTATTCTAAGCCTGCAACTGCATAATTAAGTTGGTGTAAAATGTCTTTGATGTATATTGGAAGTTTTAAGGGGGAAATTATTCTAGATTTAGATGGAAGAGAAGGGTCCATTCTCAACTGTATATTTGAAGTTTTAAGGGGGAAATTATTCTAGTTTTAGATGGAAGAGAAGGGTCCATTCTCAAGATCACTTAATATAAATTAGGTAAGCATTAATATCAGCTGTCACATCTATGAGGCTAAAATGGTTGATTTTCTTTTCACGCATTAATATCAGCTGTCACATCTGTAATGAGGCTAAAATGGTTGATTTTCTTTTCAGTACCTGCTTCTGGGAAAGAATGGTGATTCTAATTTATTGTGAGTGCCCCACAAGGTGATGGCAGTTGCTCTGGATTAATGAGGGAGCGTTTCAAGAAGTTTGTTGTTCACTTCTAGACATATTTGCACCTAACCTTAAAGGAGCTGAGAGTTGAGGTGCCATCTGCCACTTTGAGAGGGCAAAATAACCCAGCTTTTAGAATTAACTCCTGTATCCACATCACTGAGGAATCCACCCTGTGTTGAAGTTGGCCTGATGAAATACACAACAGCAGTCTACAGAGACATTGGTTGTACATACAGTAGATAACTCTTCAGTGTTGTTGTCAAAGGAACTTCTGTTAAAAAGAGATGCTGTTCTTGTAAGGATACTCACTGAGGAATCCACCCTGTGTTGAAGTCGGCAGTCTACAGAGACATTGGTTGCACATACAGTAGATAACTCTTCAGTGTAAATACTCTTTTTGTTGTTGTCAAAGGAACTTCTATTAAAAAGAGATGCTGTTCTTGTAAGGATACTCCTGAAATACAGAGTTTGGTTTTAGATCATGGGCATGTTCATAGAAACTGGGATGGCCTATAGTAAAACATATACAGCAGTACGGATGTTTAACCTCCTTTTCATTTGGCAGTGGTTGAGGCTATTCTATAGTAAGACATATACAGCAGTACGGATGTTTAACCTTTTCATTTGGCAGTGGTTGAGGCTATTCCTACAGATAACAAACAGCTGGGAATCCTGTCCAGCATTTGCAGTGTATTTCTCTGGGATAGCCTCTGGTGATAAGAAAACAAGGATGTTGTAAGTGTATGAGTATGTAGCTCACCTGTATCAATGGCTGGATAATAAGGTATGACATATACAGCAGTACGGATGTTTAACCTTTTCATTTGGCAGTGGTTGAGGCTATTCCTACAGATAACAAACAGCTGGGAATCCTGTCCAGCATTTGCAGTGTATTTCTCTGGGATAGCCTCTGGTGATAAGAAAACAAGGATGTTGTAAGTGTATGAGTATGTAGCTCACCTGTATCAATGGCTGGATAATAAGGTATTTCTTTATGATCATGTTTTTTTTAAGAATCCAAGCTGCCAGGCAGCCCTTCATTATCATATGCAATGAGATGTAGAAAATGTAAATGTACTGGAAATTGAGGATCCTCTTCTGATCCTCTTCTGGTTTAATACAAAAGTAAGATATTGTGGTTTTTGCTACATTAAATGTGACATTTCTGTTGTGGACACACAAATATCCACATGATCAAGCCCTACCTTTTTCTATGACATAGGCGTTTCATAATATTGTAGTATGCTGTGGCATACAGTGTGATCAAATCAGCATGTTAAAATATAACAAAATAATTCACAAATGGCCAAGGCTGTTTTATCACCAATATTTTGTAATTTTATTTTACCAAGCAGTCACTATACAGTATATATCATGCGCTGTCTTATAATATTGGATTATATTGTGGCTTGTTTTTTATATACAGTAGTTAAGTGTTCTTTCATAGTCTGTTCTGCACCATACAGAGCTATTAAGTTTGTTTCTAAAGTGAACTGAAATTACTGATTCTGCTAAATATTCTTATCAGTGTTTAAGGATGTAACATCCATTTTACCCTGTGGCCTTTAATTACTGTCTTCTCTTCTGCATGCTAGCAAATCTTATTATAACTCCTGGTGGAGACACTTCCAGATAAATGATACTGTACTGTATGCTCGGAACATAAGGAATGGGAAAAGTTAGGAGTCTTCTATAAAAATGTTGCAGGAAGTGTATTCTGATTTCCTTGGCTGAAAGGCAGGATTCAGAAGAAGAACTTGTTGTAATAAACACAAACTTTAAAGGATGTTCTTTTTGTAATAAACACAAACTTTAAAGGATGTTACAATGTTTCCTTGATTATTAATTGGAAAATGCATCATTTAACTGAGCACATTCTTTTAATGAGAAATAACTTGCATGATTGAAAGATTTGCTCCTAAACTCATGTTAGTTTCTTTGCTGATGTCATAGAGTATGTTGTTACCATGGTGTTCTTTATTTGTTTAAGCCACTTTAAGATGTAAAACTGAAAGGGAAGGATTTGATAGGAAGTTTATACAATTGTGCTAGTTTATAGAAGTCAATATACATTTTTACACAGTAAATAGAGTTTCCATTTGGATGAACAAAGGTTTGTTTATGTAAAAAGTAGGGATGTGTACTAGCACCAAAATACAGATTTTGGATTCAGAAAGAATTTTAAAAATCTGAATTTCCATGGAACATTGGGATTACCCAGCTAACGATGGCTATCTTCCCGCTAAGGATCTGTGTTGCACTCTCAGAGCTTTAGAGCCACGGTCCCCAACCTTTTTGGGACCATGGATCAGCTGAGTTCCCTGAGGAAGGTGGGGCACCCCCTCCCGTGCTCGCATGTGCTCTCTCAGGTGCATGTGTGAATTGGTGGGGGAGTGCTCACACCAGCACTGGCATGCATGCTCGTGTGCAAAGCAGCTGTGGGTAGGGGAGTCTGTGCGGGGGGGGAGGAGGTCTGTCTCCATGGCCCAGTCTAGCTCAGACCACAGACT